CAGATTAGCTTACAAACACGTTTAACTTACCGAAAAAGTTTGGCGGGGCCTCGGGTCCTTCTGTCAGCTAGTCCAGTTTACTGAAGAACACCTCAGGCTGTCAGGTTAAAACACTCGGTCGTGTTTTCGTAGCGTAAACGCTGGCCCTCCTCTCAGAGCCTACGCTCTATCTGCTATTCCCGAACAGAGATACGCAAGTTTCTCCGTGACTGCAGTTGCCAGTCAAAGCTGTTATGATGACGTTTCACCGCGGTAGGAATTATAATCAAACTTATGGGAATGGAGATGCCTTGGACATGATGACCCTTGGACATCAATCAGCATGAGGAGAACTATTGATAACAAAAGAAAGAATCTTTGGAAAAAAATTATCTAAGGAGAATTTATTTATTTTAGTCTGACCCCAGTCCCATCCACTAACATGGAGGAGGCAGGGTTTATGACCTATACTGCAGCCAGACACCAGGGGTCGATAGAGATGTTTTGGCTTCATTTTTGGGGCGCTGTCGCATTCTCCATGTTTTCTACAGTCAATGATTACGCACAAGTCATGGACAGTGCTGTCGGCCTCTGTTTTTTTTTTGTTTTTTGTTTTTTTTTTTGCCAAAATTGCAAAACACTTAGCAAAACCTCTAACTTTCCTCTGCTTCACTTCAGTAGCATTGGGTAATGATCATATGTTGATTCAATGTGTTCTTCAGTTTTTGATTCACTGCAGAATATTTTTAAGGCAGTTATATGCTATAAAAAGCCAAAAAATGATAGACTCCAAGCTAAAGCCCAGGGGGGAATTAATATAAAAGTGTATACAAATTGAAGAAAGTGGCTTGTCCAGTTTCCCTGGCTAAGATACAGTAAATCTGACAACATGATGCACTGCATTTACTGTTGTAAGTGTGGAAAGATCATGGCCGGCAATACTGCATTTGTGACTGCCGCTAATATGTTTCGAACTGAAACACACAATTAAAACACACATTATATGCCGCGATAAAGGTCCCCTGTGCTGTGGCAAAAAGTTAGTCTAAAGCCCTGCCTTCACGATGGCCAACTATGGGAACAACACTCTCCAGGAGTTAGGCGTATGGATATATAAGTCTTCAATAAAGGGAAGATTGCATGAAATTAAATCCAGAGGGTTAACTGCAATGTGCAAGCCACTAATATGCCTCAAGAATAGAAAAACATGGAAAAACATACTTTTAACAGATAAAACCAAGATCAACCTCTATCAGAATGACAGCGAGAAAAAAGAAGGGAGAAGGCATGGAACATGATCCAAAGCATACTACATCATCTGTAAAACACAGCAAAGGCAGTGTGATGGCTCGGGCATCCATAGCTGCCAGTGGCAGTGGAACACTAGTGTTTATTGATGATGTGGCACAGGACAGAAGCTTCATAATGTGACACACATTTTAAATGGGAGACAGGTCTGGACTGCAGTCAGGCCACTCTAGTACCTGCACTCTTTTGCTACAAAGCCACACTGTTGTAACACATGCAGAACGTGGCTTCACATTGTCCTGCTGAAATAAGAAGGCAGGTCCGTGAAAAATATATTGCTTGGATGGCAGCATATGTTGCTCCCAAACCTGTATGTACCTTACAGCAGCGGTCCCCAACCCCCGGGCCTCAGACCGGTACCGGTCCGTGAGTCGTTTGGTACCGGGCCGCGAGAGTGAGGCTCAGGTGTGAAATGTATGGTTTTCAGGGTTTTTATCGGTTTTGAGCGTTATTTTGTTATCGTTTTTATCGTTTACTCGGTTTTCCTTGATCTTTTCACGTGTGTTATGAATAAATCTTCTTTTTTTCGGTACCGGTACTAGTTTTATTTTGTTGTATTTATCCGCGACACCTTAAAGGCCGGTCCATGAAAATATTGTCGGGCATAAACCGGTCCGTGGTGCAAAAAAGGTTGGGGACCGCTGCCTTACAGCATTAATGGTGCCTTCACAGATGTGCAAGTTGCCCATGCCATGGGCACTAACACACCCCCAATGCCATCTCAGATGCTGGCTTTTAAACTTGCGTTGATAACAATCCAGGTGACCCATTTACTCTTTGATTCAGAGGCCACGACATCTATCAGTTCCAAAAACAATTGGAAATGTGGACTTGTCAGACCACAGCACACATTTATATTGCATCAGTCAATCTCGGATGGGTTCAGGCCCAGAGAAGCTGGCAGTGTTTCTGGGTGTTGTTGATATATGGCTTTTGCTTTGCATGGTAGAGTTTTAACTTGCACTTGCACTGTAGATGTAGCGATGAACTAGGTTAACTGACAATGGTTTTCTGAAGTATTCCTTAGCCCATGTGGTAATATCCTTTACAGAGTGATGTCGGTTTTTAATGCACCTAAGGGATCAAAGGTCACGGGCATCCAGTGTTGGTATTCGGCTTTGCATCTTGCATGCAGAGATTTCTTCACATTCTCTGGATCTTTTGATTATATTATGGACAGTTGATCATGAAATCCCTAGATTCTTTGCAATTGTTCGTTGAGAAACATTGTTCTTAAACTGCTGAATTTGTCCAATCAGTTGTTCACAAAATGGTGAACCTCACCCCATACTTGCTTGTGAACATCTGAGACTATTGGGGATGCTCCTTTTATACCATGACAATTAAGCTGTTCACCTGTGGAATGTTCAAAACAGGTGTTTTTTGAACATTCCTCAACTTTCTCAGTCTTTTGCTGCCCCTGTCCCAGCTTTTTTGGAACAGGTTGCAGGCATCAAATTCAAAATAACACAAAACAATAATAAAGTTTGTCAGTTTGAAGACAGATATCTTGTCTTTCTAGTGTATTCAATTGAATATACGTTGGAAAGGACCACTGTATTCTGTTTTTATTTACTTTTTTTTTTTCCCGTCCCGTTTGGTTCTTTTGCCATCAGAATTATTGTCTAAAGGCAAGGAAAGATGCCCAACGGATTTACTTTACCAAATGGACCATCCCAGCCTTGCCGTAATGGTCTATTTGATTCACCTTTTATTGTTTATTTTATTTTTTATTTTCACTTGCTAAATACGGGACAGACTTGAATGAGGAAAAGAAAAGGGAGAAAGAAAGAGGGAAAGAAAAACAGCGGAGAAGAGGGACAGGGATAAAGGGCAAAAAAACAAAAACCAACTAAATAAGCAGACAAAAAATATCATATCAATCACCTGGATCACCTGTTGAGAAAGAAAAAGAAAACAAGCAGAAGAAAAGAGCAATAGAATAAACAACATCACGATGATCTATGTGAATATGACAGTAAATACTAAATATTAAACATTATTGTGCAGCACGTAAGATCGACAGCGCACAGTGTGCTTTGAGGTAGGAGCCAAAAAGGGTGTAGTTTGTGAGTGTGACCACCCGTGTGTACACCTGTGAGCATGGACAGCGCTTGTTTTACCAAAGGTTTCTTCATGTAATGAATCTGCTAGAGGAGTGTGGGGGGGCCACAGCCCCGTCCTCCAGGGCATGAAGCAGGTATGGAGGAGATCAAAACTCCAGACATCCAGAGGCCCCCAGAACACAAGAGACCAAGGAAGACCAACAGAGGGGCAGCCGCGCCACTGTCCCAGTAAAGAGCTGAGGAGAGTCCCAGATGAGGGCTCACCCAGCAGCCGCGGAGCAGAAGTCAGGGGGAGTTGCAGTGATGTACCGCCGGCAGCCAGCTGCGCCAGAGTGACCGAGCCCCAGGCCGAGAGGCCAAGGGCACCCCACCCCCGAAGTGGCCCGAGGAGCCCCAGGCTCCAGGCCCCGATAAGCGGCCGCCAAGGAGTGAGCCGGTGTGTACCTGGACGCCCATCCCCGGACACAAAGAACCACCAACGCACCGATGTCTGAGGGAGTCCGCCACTGGCAGGGGAAGTGGTGGTAGGGGGAGATAGGCCTCCAAACCTTGGAGGGCCTGAGATGTCCCCAGAGAGGTGGCGCCTGACACCCAACCTGACATATAGACACAGACATACAGGCACACACAGATACAAACATCCATTCCCACCCTCATGCTCTCATATGCACTTACTCCACACTCAACCAACGTGGAGACAGACATAAAGAGACGCTGTACACACGATCACACTCCCCAAGCGTACTCTACGAACCGGGTCTAGGTACCCTTGCCCCTGGAGGGGGGAACTGCACCCAGACCCAGGTGGTGTTACCCTTTTCCCTGCGGTGGGGGGAGAAGCAGACCAGGCACTCCAGACCGCAGTCGGACGGCCAACTCCTCCTCCCGGCCCCCCCACTCCAGCAGGTCAGAGAGAACGGGGGTGTGAGAAGACTCCAAAACCTCCCTCCGCCCGCTCATTGTAGTGTTGATGCATTTATTTACATTTTACACAATGTCCCAACTTCATTGGGAATTGGGGTTGCACTTGACTTCCAGGTATAAACCCTCAAATGCAGACCTTAAAGCAGATAACTCATAAGCTGGAGAGGAAATTGTGTATTACAAATTTAGAAGACCATCAATTAGCCTGGAGAAATAGTTTGCTGCTTTATTAAAAAAGAAAAAAAGCTCTGTGTATCTTGCTGCTTTCTATCTGACCGTGTCTTTTGGGGTACTGGTTTCACAGAACAAATGTTGAGGGAAGATGAAAACAGGAAGGAGATTTGTGAATAAAACCATCAAATGAGCGCTTAAATAGATGGATAATACACTATCATCATCAAAAGGAAAATAAAGAAACATAAAATATAATATGTCAACAAATTTGTCTCTCTGGCCATGTCATGTCCCTCCATCAGCTGCACCGATTTTACTGGTTCCACAAGAAAAAGGGACAATACTACACATCCACAAAGGGAACCAGTAGGCTGGGCCTGCAACTACAGCGTTTTTTTATTATGAAATCTAACTGTGATGCTAACATGTTTCCAGTGTCATCTTGGAGTTGTGCTGAGGTTGAATCAGTGAATAGTTGTTTGCTGCCATCTTTTTCTTCTGTCTCTGCTGTCTCTGAGCTCTCTGTTTGATCTTCTCTGATGTCTCCAGACTCTGTCAGGCTGCTGAATGGTTCCAGTCTGTGTTCAGGCAGACTGGAGGTGAAGTCTAACCAGAGCTGGTCCTCAGTGTGTGAAGCTGACTTTGACCAGCAGGATGCAGAGGTGGTCTGCAGGGAGTTTGGCTGTGGGCCTCCTTTGGTCCTCCAGGGGGCGCTCTATGGAGAAGTGGAGGCTTCAGTGTCGAGCAAAGAGTTCCAGTGTGGAGGCCATGAGTCTGCTCTCCTGGACTGTAGAAGCTCAGCCTCAGCTAGAAACAGCTGCTCACCTGGCAAAGCTGTTGGACTCACCTGCTCAGGTAGAAGAGGAGCAGTAGCTTTGATCTGGCTCAAACTCACTTTATTTGTTTATTGATGACTCTCTGCTTTCTGTTCAGAGTCTGATGATGTCAGGCTGGTAGGAGGACCCAGTCGCTGTGCAGGTACACTGGAGTTAAAACATCTTAGAGAATGGAGACCAATGGGGTACTCTGATGATTCCTGGACCCTGAAAGAAGCAGCTGTTGTGTGTGAACAACTGGACTGTGGCTCAGCTGTTTCTATGGAAGCGGCACAGTCCTCATACAAATTTGTGTGGTTGATCAGGTCTTCCTGTATTGTGTCCAAAACTCCTCTGTCCAATAGGGATTGTGCAATATCAGATCAGCTTGACTACATCCTGAAACTCACCTGCTCAGGTAATTATGTTGAAGATATTATCCATGACTGTGTGCTCTCTTTGTTGTAGACTTTCACTTTCTGTTCCTTTAAAAATGCACATTGGTGTTCTGGTATATCTTATCTGACTATCCAGAGTTGAGAGTTTTTAGGACATCTTGAAGTAATAAATCATCTGCATAGCAGTGAAAATGTACGCTATGCCTTCTGATGATACTGCCTAAGGGAAGCATGTATAATGTAAACAGAATTGGTCCTAGCACTGAACTCCACTGGAACTCCATAATTAAACTTAGTGTATGAAGAGAACTCTCCATCTAATTCAATTCAATTCAATTCAAATTTATTTATATAGC